TTCTGTTTGGAGCATTCGTCCCATGCGTGCAGACACTGTGGCTGCAGTTAACTCAAGACGCGGTATGGCAGTTGTCTTGACGGGTGCGACCCGAGCCTTCCCAAGAAGGAATGCGCAGTGGATGCGGCCTTCTTCGTCTCGTTGGCGAAGGTATGCAACAGCTCCATACCCCGTCGAGCTCGCGTCTGAAAAGACGTGCACTTGTTGTGAGATGACTCTTTCAAACCCAGGAGGCGTCAGGCATCGATTGACGCTTAGCTTCTCAAGCAGGGGTAGTTCTCTTCTCCACTTTTCCCATCTTGCTAGATACTCTTCTGGTATTTCGTTGTCCCATCCGATAGTTTTATCGCTACAAAGTTCTTGAAGCAGCTTCTTCGCTATCAGTGTAAATGGGGCGACGATTCCGAGAGGGTCGTACAGCGATGAAATCGTTGAAAGGATACCTCTTCTTGTCAGTGGCTTATCACTGATGATTATGCGGAATTTAAGGGCGTCCGATTCGACGCACCACTGCACACCTAGTGCGTGTTCCATCGGCAAGTTGTCGTGCTTCAAATCAAGTGACTTCGTTTCTTTAGAGCGTTCTTCTTGTGGAATTGATTCCATGACAGCACGATCGTTACAGGTAAACTTTGTGAGATGGAAACCTCCTCTAGCACAGGCTTGACTTACGTCCTTCACGAGCTTAATGGCGGATGCTGTGTCTTTGGCCGATCGTAGGCAGTCGTCTACGTAGAAATTGTTCTCTATTGTGTTCAGTGCTTGAGGGCTGAACTCCGACGTATTATCTTCGCACACTCGTTTCAAGGCAAAATTAGCGCAGCTCGGAGATGAGACTGCCCCGAACAGATGAACTGTCATTTGATACTCTTTGAGGTCTGCACTCAGGTCGCCGTTCGGCCACCAGAGAAATCTTAGAAAGTCGTGTTGACTCTCTGGCACGTGGACCTGACAAAACATTGCCTCTATGTCCGCCACAAAAGCGATGGGTTCCTGTCTAAAGCGAGTAAGAACGCCTACCAACGAATTGGTAAGATTCGGTCCTTGTAATAACATATCGTTCAGCGAAATTCCTTCGAACTTCGCGCTACAGTCAAACACAACCCGCATTTTGTTTGCTTTTCTTGGGTGGTACACCCCGTGGTGGGGGATGTACCACACCTTTCCTTGACTCGCGGTAAGCTTATCGTCGGGAACTTTCTTTGCGTAWCCTTTGCTGATGGYATCGTTTATGAAATTAATGTAGTCTTCATGGTACTTCTTATCTCTCAGCATCTTCTTCTTCTGCCATTCAGCTCTTTTAACCGCTTGATGCCTGTTATTCGGTAAAGACACGTCCGGATTTCTAAAGGGTAGTGGAAGCTCGTAATGCCCGTTGACGTGTTGAATGCCTTGAGATACCGTTTCAAGAAATGCTTTATCTTCTTRTGACAAACCATAACTGTCCGAGTTCTTCGAACGGTCGTTGAAGTCAAGTTCAAACATGGTTAAAACAGACTGGGGAGTCATGACTTCCTTGATGGGCTCCACTTCTTTCACTGTTATTCTGTTGCTATTGAAAAGGCGGGAGGACTGCGGGTCAACTTGCAGTGGACCGTTCACCGTCCATCCGTGTCGAAGGCGCATGGCGAAAGGCCCGCTTCCTCCGCCTGGAACTACTTCTAGGGGTTCGAGCGCCAGAGGGCAGTCGCTTCCGAGTAGAAGACCAACCTCGAGGTCTGTCACTAGTTCAGGTATGTTACTTGCTATCTGACGAAGGTTCTGGAATCGGCTAACTACTTCGGGAGTAGGGATTTGCTGCTGATTAACTGGAATTTCTTGTCGCGTGTAACAACGAGCCAGTTTGACAGGGTTGTTACCTTTCAGATCACTTACAGTCAGTCCTTCAACGATAGAGCTCTTGACCGAACTGTAACCGTGCATAGTTCCAAGTTGTAGCCTTGTGTCGATTCCCTTTATCGCTAACTGTTCCTTTAGTTCTTCGGTAATGAAGCTGCCCGAACTTCCATTATCGTAAAGTACGTATGTCTTAGCAATATTTCCGTTCTCGGCCCGGACGATAACGGGTAGAATGGCATGCAGGATGACATTCTGCGTGGTGGTTGATAGACTATTTTCAGTTTCTTTCGTGTCAGTACACGTACTACCGATGGACGTAGAAACTGACTTACTTTCATCCTTGGATTTCTGTTGTTCTTTGGGATTGAAGTTATCTACGTGGAGTGACGTTGGATGTGGTTTGTTGCATGTTCTGCAGATTTTCTTGTTGGTACAGCCTTTAGACCGGTGGTTGGTTCCGTAGCAGGCAAAGCACAGGTGTTTTTCTGCTATAAATTTCTTCCTTTCTTCSAGGGTTTTCTTTACGAAGTCTTTACACTCTTCAAGATCGTGAGATTTCTCACACAGCGGACACTTCATCAGCCTTTCTTGTTGCTTTGACCCGGCCCCGTCTTGGCTGCTCTTAGGACCATCTAAAGACGTCGCTAGGCTTCTTGTGAATTTCCTTTTACTTTGAATCGGGAGTTTCTTGGTGGTCTGCTCCGTAAACCTGGGACTCCTTGATTTTTCATCTAGTTTACACAGGGCTTCCTTGCTGAACACAGGGTCATTACTCGTTTCTGC